GCTTTCCCAGGAATTCCCTCTGAGGCCAACCTTAGCCTTCAACTGTAGAACAAAGTCACTCAATTGCCAAACCTTTACTGACCATCTGGAGATACCACTGAGCCTGACTTCAGTTAAGCACTGGGATAGATGTTTAATATATAGGTGAATCAACAAATACTGTCACACACCATGAGAATAAAAGAAGCTAGTTTGGATCTGATGTTTGTGGTATTTGCATTACCAGGTTTAATAATGGAACTAGATTTTTTAAAGCTGGATGCAGCTGGTATTTTTAAAAACATGCAGTTTTTGTGCTGTTCTGTATCATGGTATTTCCAAATAAAAAGTCCTCGATGTTGGACTGATGGCTAAAGCTTTTGTCCTTTTCTAATGACAGCAAGCGAGTATTCAGTTAAAAGTAAATCAAACTATTAGAATTCATTAAAAGTCCAATGTTTCAACCTTTCTTTCTGTGCTGACTTTGCATTCTTGTTCTTTTTAATTGGCTTTGTTTGAAGTTATGGATGTGCCATAAGTACAAGAAATGTACTGAATTGTTGTTGTCAAACGTAGTGTTCATTTCTGTGTTGGAGCCCGGCACAGTTCCAGATGCTAAAAACTAAGATTAAGATAAGTCCAACAGACCAAGCTAAGATACAGGATAAACATCAATAACATTTCCCTAAACAGACTGATAAGACTGCTGACTGTTTTATTGACGCTTTGGTAATTCCAGTTAAACTTCTGAAAAAAAGGTAATACGTTGCTGATGAACTGCATACACATCGTTTAAATAGTATGAAAGGCAGTTGTGAATGTTACTATATTCTCTGAAAAGTGTTTTTTATTAAAATGCTGTAACATGTTTTGTTTTAACCTCATGACAGCTACACTCAAACGTGCTTATTTGGTGAAGTCAGCTCAACATAAAAAGAATGAATTGAACAAATCAGGATGTTTGTGAGTTTAAGAAAATGGTAACAATACTTTATGTACTCTTTTTTTTGGCTCAAGTGTATTATTCCTTTGTGCTGAAAAGATTGGTGGTACAAGGTCACAGTTGGTCATTAGAATTCCTAAAAAATGTACCATTTCCTCTCTCGCTCCAAAACCGGAAGACGTCTGCATTATAACTATGGCTGTCTTGCTTTGATCCTGTTTATTGTAACTGATTTTCCTGTTTTCTGATTGTTCCTGATATTGTTCATTGCCTGCTCTTCTCCCTGTTTCTGCCATTTTACAGCCTAATGAATTCATTTCATGAATGCATTTGTATCAATCTGTGAATATTCTGCGATTGGGCCCTTTGATTGAAAGAAATGTAATTGGATACTAGTAGGAAGAAAAAAACCTTTTACAGAATGACCTCAAATACCTTGACCTCTTATCTATTCCTTAAATCCCACAGAAACCTTTAGTGTTCAGAACAGAACCCTACTATGGGTCAGGGTGGTCCATCGGGGATTAAAATAATACAAATTTCAGTTGTAATTAGTTGCCATTATTTAATGCTCCTTAAATATGTTTTTTTAAATACAAACATATTCTAAAATGAAAAAACCTTAGGTTTGTCACATAAGAGAATTCTAAGATCTTGGAATCACCAAAAATACTTTTAAAAGATATTAGTTTTAAATGAATTATTCAAATCAAAATGAATTGAATATAACAACAAATAATTTAAATTAACTAATTAAATCAAATTAATTAGTCAAATTGCAAAGAAACACATTTAACATTTAACTATTTTATACATCCAAAATGTGTAGCATTGGGTAAATGTTATCCTTGAAGTTAAAGCTTTGGTACATTAATATTGAATGTAGTCCAGAGAAAGTCAGTATAGATAAAATAGCCTCAGCATATTCAACAGTTTTCTGTCAAGAAGACATTAATAAGAAGTTGTTGCCAATATTTTTTTAGTTGGAAAGCTGGCACTCTAAGTAACTTTTCAACATGTTTTGTTTACTGTCCCTTTCTTACATTTCATTACTTTGTTTATAGTTGGAACTGCTTACATACAATGTCTTCAGTTCTAGATTTCCACATTGACCTGTTTGGGCTTGTCTGAATTAATTATATATTTATTTTCCCCCATCTCTATCCTTTTTGATACAACATATCTGGTGGAGGATTCAATATTTTAACAAAATGGAAACTTTTGCATCTAATGAAAAAAATAAAGATTCTGTCACAAGAGAACAACAACAATCTATTCTTAGAGTTAACGTTTTACAATGCATTGTAAAAAAAATCAGCTTCGTCCACACCCTTTCTATTGATTGATTGAATCCTGTCTATCTATTGACAGGATTGCTTTGCAAATGTAAAAAAAAAAATCAAGAAACATTTTAAATGAATTGCACAACTACTAATTTATCCAAGGGGACTTATAACACTTCAGACGCACTCCAACTCTTTTAAAATCAAATATTTAACCCTGGCAGGGAAGCTCTCCATTAGATTATGGCTTTACTCCTGCTAACCCCAGTGGATATAAATAATAGATGAGGAACCAGCAATGGACATTACTCACTGAAGCAGATGGGTTTGGAGTAATTCTGAACAAAAAGCAATGCCCCGAGCAAAGGCAAATAAAACATCGCCACATTTGGAACATGTGCTGTAAAGGTCAACACATTCAGAAGATACCAACTTACAGCCACAGATTTTCACTATAGAAAATTACCTCCTATAGTTTCTGTGTACAGTATGTATATATATACTGTACAGTAATACAAGTGTGAGTATATGCGGATGTAATCTTCCCACAGTGTGAAATGGCCAAAATACATCAATGGTGAACTATAGAAGCAGCACCCCTTTCGAGATGTAAGGTGTTCATGGTTACTAAACCTGAAAAAAAATGGAAGAATCAGTATTTTACTTTTATATCAGTACCAATATACCTACAAATCATTATTATAACAGAAAGGAAGGGACAAACATAATCCCCCACCGTAGTGCCGAACTCACTTACATGACTGGTGGCAGTCATTCTGTCTGCCGCTATACAGCAGGTTGGGTAGAGATGTGACAATGTTGGAATACCACTTTAAACACTATTCATCTACTTCTTTAGAGATGTATGCTAATTATACCGCCACAAAGGATAATGTAAATGCTCTAGGGTAATGATGCCACAATAATGCTGGCAAGGATATGAAAACATTTGAGAGAATGTGAAGAATGCCCTTATAACTGTGCTTAAATCTGATTGCCTCAAGGCAATAACCTGCACTTCTTAACTCTCCAGAATATGTCTCCATCTAATGTTGAACAGCACAAATAGAGGGAACTTGTATTGGATCTATATCATATAAAGTTTGCTCACTACTATTCTAATGTAGCAGAATATGCAAAAATAATGTCTCCCCATAATGATAATGATTTGAATTATTATTTAAGAATAATTATTTAAGAATATCAGATATTCTAAAGTTGCCATTTGAGAAAAAGTAAGAGGATATAAAAATTCCCACAAAACCTTTTTTTATAAATAATAATTACATCCCTATTGTAAAAAAAAATGAGAATACAAAAAATAACTAGTTAGGGTTATGGTTGATGATTAGAGTTTCCTCACTAAAGAGTGAACATGGTCACTTACATGAAGTTTATAAACAGGAAAGCTTTTCAGCCTTCCACATGACATCATTCACTGATTCCCTAATTCCATCCGAGTTAACAAGCCTGACATCATCCCAAACATGGATGTTAACAAACATACATTTCTTTTAGAGAAAAAAGGATTTTTGTATACTGTCTTCTCAAGCTCTCTTATGTTGGTCACATAAGCTGCTTAACACATGTATTGTATAATAAATATCTGAATTGAAGATACAAAGCACCTAATCCATTGTTAAATAAAAGTAAGTTCATTTAAACCACATACCTTTTAAGTGCTTCTAATTGAATGCAAAGATGTGGAGTTTAAGGAGCATAATTAGCTTGCTTGGGCATTATATATAAATATATAGTTTCAAAAAGTTTTTATATGACCTTTATATACTGTAATTACATGGGATTTTTACTGGAGAATGATGTTAAGACATTCTCATTCAGAATACAATTATATCTATGCATATCTTATCAAAGGCATTTCATCTCAACTGGTTTTAATAATTTCGTAAAAACACTGTCAGAAAGATAAGATAAATAATTTTAGACTGGTAAAGAACTTTTTAAAAATTCAGACAAGCAGGAAAAACAGAACAATGCCACCTTACAAAGTTTATATAACAGTTGCTAAACCTCTTATATTTTATACATAATCTTTCAACATGTACTGACAGTGCGAATGGGAAAACCCAAAATGTGTAATGTAGCAGAAACTGGCCATAGGAAAAACTGCCCTGTAATCAGGAAGTCAACTGAATTAAACAACTAAAAAAGAAGGTGATGTAAGTTCTTGTTTTCTACATGAATAGGAATGAAGAATTCAATTCACAGAACGCACATCATGCAGGTTTGACAGTAATGCCTCAATCCCTTTTGAGATAGGTGGTGGAGGGGTGATAGTAGTGACTCAAACAGATTTCAGTTTTAGTACCTGAGCTGCTGATTTAAACACCTTCAGAGGTCAACGGTATTGCAACAGTAGGTACGCAGGCCATGCGTATGCATTAAACAAGTGTAGCAGATAAATCAGCAGAACAGAAAAGATAAAAAAATACTGAACAAATTAAATCTTCCATTTTATATCACATAGTGTTGCAACATTGGCAGGAAATTGCTTTCTGCAGGGAAATGTGTGCAAATTCCATGTCAGGTTATTGAACTTTTAACCAGTTATCCTTCCAAGATTGGTAACTTATATTTTTTTAAAATTACAATTTTCTTCATGAAAGAAGAAGCCTGAAGCACCACACATTAAGAAATAGAGAATTTCAAGACGTTCATTGTACAAACTAGTAACACATTACAAAACAGTAAAATAGTTTAGAATTCAACACTTTATAATATTATCATATTCTAATAAGATAGACATAAAAAATGATACAATGGTCACTCTGTAACAAGTACAGAAGGACAGCAGGATTTAGAGTTATGGTTTGAGCAGCTGAACAGGCAGGTCTTGTGGAGGTCTGAAAGGAATAAGAGAGCAGTAGTGATAAGACACTTTGTTCAATTACAGGTGGGTTAGGGATGACAGTGTGCAGGTATGAGTGTGAAGAGACTGAAGAGAAGAGCTACATCTGCTTTGAAGAATTAGGAGGAATAACCATGAAGAACAGCTTCACCAATTAGGCATCTTCAACAAAATGTCAGGCACTTAAAATATTTTCTTAACAAAAAAAACATACCACACATTTAACATGTAAAACACAAGTGTACAATTGTCAGGGATATTCTAACCCCCATGTATTCAAAAATTCAGAATCTCCCTTATTGATGACACAGAGTTTTTGAGGGAGAAGAGCAGGGTATAAATTGAAATTATTCAGCAAAGTTATGCAATGTTTAACTGTCCCCTGGGGAGAAATAAGGAATATGATTAGCAAGTATTTTTGAAATTTGAAGTATGTAATTATCTCGCATCTCTAATGCAGAAATGAAAAGCCATTCAGACGTGATTTACATTTTTAATACGTATTTTCTTGATAAGGAACCAGAATGTTATAATAATCAAGCATGTTCCCTGCTACCAAGATTTTTGTTAATTATTTGGTAGTCTTATTTTGCTAGTGTACTATATGTTTTTAAGAGAATGTTTAAAAAATTGAGACCTTTTAAAATTATTTTAAACAAGATCCAAGATTTGCATGTATATTATACATGCAAAGCCTGACTGAGAAAGAATGAGATAATATGCACCGAACCACATATACAATTCTTCATTCAAATTGACAAAGATAAACATAATCAGAGCAATACATGAAAGTATATTGAGTAAATAAAATATGAAATAGCTATTGTTTTTAAGTAGAATACTGTACTGTATAACTTACTGTTACACATTTTATGGCCTGGAAGCTAAGGTAATTACTACTGATTGTAGGATCTATTCATTATTTAATGAAGAACTTCATCCATAATGCAATGACTAATGTTTGTGAAAACATTCCTAGCAGCTCCCGGCCAAAGGCTCTATAACAGATAAAAACATAAAATAAATTAAAAGTTTTTTGGGGGGCCAACAGATATAGAATATTAAGAAAATAATGATGTTCCTTAACATGCATTTTTTAAAGAAAATATTTGATGAAAAAAAACATGTATATATTGTTGGTATTCATACTGTACTTAAAAAGTTCTCCATGATGAAATGTATTGGAGTCCACACACTTCAGACAATAACTGTGTTCATTTATATGTAGATGAAACAACTCCAGAGCCTTTCTTTAAGTTATTATCAAATAATAATCACTTGGAAATAGGATAACCTTTTATTACAGCACACAGAAGGATGTAAGCCAGGAGATATTTACATAATGTAAAGCAGACTTCCTGGCTTTGTCAACCAGTGGATATCTTTTGTTTAACCCATCAATTGTACGATCCACTCTTTCCTGTGCAAATAGAAAGAGATTTCATATATGTTCACAAAAAGCACAAAAAGCACAAAAGGGTACAAAAAGGAAATGTTTAAATTTAGAACCCCCACATCTCGTCTTTCACAACTCCACCCTCAAAGCCTGTTTAGGTTTCTGAATTCCTCCAGTTCCCCTGGTGTTTTCCTATTTTGACTGTTGAGTTGAAGGACTCTAACATCACAGGAGTTTCAGATAATACAAAAAGGCTTACTTCCCATCATGCAATTAAACTCCTAATTTTGCTTTGTCTTGAGGAAGGGAAGTCTCAGAATACTTAGTGAAAAATACTTCTGGAAATAAGTAGAGGTTCAGACTGGATATGAGCCGGCTTCTGAACTGTAACCATAAAACAATGTGATAAGGAATTATTTTTTTGCATACATCTGAACCCTGTGAGTTATATAAATGTTTGTTTCTACATTTATACAACTATCACAATTTGTGGGTTTCACAAGTGAAGAGTTCACAGATTACAGGTAAGATCACCCTTCTTTATTAAATTTAAAGTTGGCTTCCAAGCCAAATTAAAATAATATTAATTTGCATGAAGAAATTGGTCTTAAAGTCAGTGTACATCTGTTATAGTAGGTTGATAAAGCATAGTGGTGAGTAATTCTTAAATGTATTTGCTTACATAAAACGTACTTGGATTGGTAGAAAAAGGATCAACAGACACTGTTCGAAAATAAAGTATTTTAGGAGACACATATTTATAGTCCAGTGTTATGTTAGTTAAAATGGTACAGTCCAAAAGCTATTGTTCCTAATCGCGCCTAGCCTAAACATAAATGTTTTCTTTGGCTAGGCGTTATTTTAAAAAAATCCAAATATTTATTAACATACCGAAATACGAAATAAATGCTTCTTTTAAATTCACAAAATTGATTTCTTATTATATCCAAAAGTCTTGAAAAACCCAGTACAAATCTGCAGTGGACGTTCATGGCCTATTGGTTTTATCGTTTCATGGTGTTTATACCGGTGTCAGACTGCGAGCTGGAACATCGGGCAATTACTACAATTCTATGTACACACACCTCTTCCATGCTGGGATTATAGTCTTGCCAGACGTTTTCCACCGCCGATGGGAAAATAGCAATTACATCGATGACTACTTTCTAGCATGTTTGAGCTGGTTCTGTAGGGTGAAAAGTAAAGATTATTTGGACAGCATAGTTAACTGCACAGTGTATGTGTACTTGCAAGTGTCTGTGAGTCAGTGTGTTTGACAGGGCTGGAGTTAAGGGGCTCCCTCTTACTGTGAAAACTATGCTGTAACTTTGGGACGATCTTTTCGGGCTTATGTTGTCCAGTGGATGAGCTCTGGAGGATTCAAAGCGAAGCTTCATTCTGCATTGCAGCGTAACAAGTTTTACGTGTTTTTCTCTTTACTGGGTGTGAAGAGTACCCCTTTAATTTATGTATCTGGTGAGAAAAACCTGAAGACGGATCTGGGAAGTGAGATATAAAGAAAAGCTTAAAGTATAGTATTTGATTTACTTTCGGAAGTGATTGTATTTTTCACATGAACGCTTACAGAAACTATTTCACGGAATTGTCCAAAACTGAATGAAATGTTAGGTAAGTTGGAACATACTACTTGAACTAATTTTCACTATTAATCGTGTGCCAAAATTGAATTATTTTTAATTATATCCTAACACATGGTTAGGTTGTAAAACGTTGTTAACTTGAATGCCCAAATTAAGCAGTTGGTATCCTGAGGGTTATTTGTCATTTGTTATTATCCTTATGGATTTTAACGTTTGGATTATATAAACTATTATAATGGTATCTTCTTTCGTAATTGCCAGAACTATTTAAGCTTTGTTTAAAATATCAGTTCATAAATATTTTACAATGTTTTCTTAACTTTTTCATGCAAGTCTTTAGAATTATTTCATGTTGTGAAAGTGAAAATAAACCGAAATTAAACCTATTTTTACAGTTAAGCTTCTGTACTACAGTATATTGCCTACATATACTGTATGTTCCTGCAGAACACAAGTTAAGAGGTTAATGCTTATCCGGAAAAAAGTATTTCACGATTTAGCCTACTCTGTTATGATTCAGGACTTGAGTTTGGAATGCTAAGCACGACGATTTACACTTCTTCCTTTTCGTCTCTTGGATGCCTTAAGCTTAAGTGAAGGTCTAAGTGACCGTAGAGGTCTTCGGCAAGTCTTCAGGCACGTGTTTGCAAAACTTAATAACCACAGTACCTAGGTATAGGTGTTTATAAACATACCAGATGACATCTATCTGGCTGTATTCCAAAAAAGTATTACAAACTCTTTACAAAGTATACACACACAGCTCACAACTAATAGTATTATGTATTTCTAAATATAATAAAGCTTTAAGAGGACTTTAATTATGTTTCATGTTTAGATTTGTGTAGTTTTGTAAATACTGTTGATGTGATTCTAGTGGATTTTTCAAATGCATTGATTTTTTTAACCCCTTATGTTTGAATACATAATTATCGACCTAAAGGGATTTCACGTGTGACAGATAACAGTAGGCCACTGGAAAGCAGTATTGATTAATATTGATCTTTATCACGTACAAAAGTACATAATATAAAGGTTATGCCTGTGCTCTATTTCAATAGTACTAGGGTTTGAAATCTATGTTATTTCAACAAGTTGTTTTTTCACTAATAAAGTGCCATACAATGAACTCAGCACATACTGTCAGTGTATTTTGTGAATTGTCGAACTGTTGAACTTTTTTACAGGCAGCTTTTCCTGTGATAAGCCTCTCCAGTAGTTTGCAGGCTACTGATTAAAATAGCCTCTTATGAATAGTTACAGTGGCTGTAAGTGTGGGACCGGTAATTTGTATGAAATTCTGATGCAATGGAAGAGTTTTATCTTTTGGCCCATTAATTAACAGCTTAACTTGAATAGCACGCAGAGGTATCACTTACCTTTCTTGGTTTGCAAATATGCTGAGTTGATGTCTAAAGAGTTTCTTTAAACTGATGGGAACAGTGGATGGTTAATGTTTCTTGCTTCTGTTCTAACCTTAGAAACCAAAGTTAAACATTTGTTTCATTGAACATGGTATATTAACTGTGTAATTCACCCTGTACATTAATTATGTCTGATCTTTATTCTTAATGTACAACGACTCCAATGACTCTTCTATATTTTGTGACAATGTTTTTGAAAACAGAATTGCATGGAATATATACAACATTTTTCTTCCTTTTAAAGGATATTGGGAATGTTCTTGCAAAAATACAATTGTACCTTCATGCTTATTTTACCTACAAGGAAATAAGAAAGGATGCTTTGTTGCAGCCTCTCATTTTAGCAATTTGAATATACAAAAGGAGAGTAATATTCCTGTCTTTGCCTATATTTTTCTCATACAGCTTTCTTTACTGATACTTGACATTTTCTGTTAGCTTTTATGAACTAAAATGCTTTGGCTGGCATGCAACACAAGTGTACCGTTTATAGAAGAGGCCTAATCAGAGTCCATCAAGTTAACATTTCTGTTTAGTTTCAACTGAGGTTTGCATTCTACTAAACTTTTAAAGCTCTGGATAAATATTGTTCCTTATGGGCACCAATCACAGGTTTTGTTCACACTGAAAGATTTGTGTAATTAGACCAATTAGACTGCATTGCACGCTGTGTTTGAGTACTCTCCATTTAAGTGCCTTTGAGGCTCTGCTATATGGGAAAGGCTCAACTACCAGTTAGCTCTGATACCAGGTTAATAAAATTTAGTAGGACTTCTTTAGTGTCCTTTAGATTAAATCTGTTTAGTCTATTAGTGACACATTTAATACACAGTACAGTACCCTCCAAAGGTTTGGAACATGAGAGTTAAAATGTATTATTGCTTTACAGTTTGTATTTGTGAGAATTAGTTAAATATGAATGATAAGTTAAATATAATACATATTTTATTTTAGTGTAATTCCGCATACATTTGATGGTATTAGAACACAAACATGCTTTATGTTCAAGATTATTTAACTCTGTGTAATCGTTTAAGATTATTTGTTATGGCCACTTAGAGTTATTGCCTATTTTTGGGGTCTTCTAACATAATTTTTGTTCATCATGTAAAATGCATGCACAATTAATTTAAGTCTGGAGGTTAGGTTGGCAAGTCTATGATTTTCCATTTTTCTTTATGAATCAATTCCTAAGATACACTGACTGTACATTTTGGGTCACTATTGAGCTGGATGATGAAGTGCTACTCATTAAATATAGAAACATTTTTTCTTTTACAAAAGCAGATAAATGGTGTTTGCAAACTTCAGAACTTATTCTGTTGCTTCATTCCATAACATTACAACCACTACACAGATTAGGTGATGTCCTTTGGAGAATCTGCAGCTCCTTACGCCTTAACCTTTCTCTGACTCATCTTTGTACATCCAAGGATATTCTAATCTGTGTTATCTGTTCTTGGTGCTGATGAGAAGTTTATATCTTCCAGTGTAGCCTTTGTAATTCTGCTGTCTCAATCTTCTGCAAAATGTGTATTTCGATACCCCCGACCCTGCTCTCTAGAGGTTATTGAAGACGTTCGTTTAGGTCTTCTTTGACGGCTCTGAAAGGTTTTCTGATTTTCACGTTGGAGATGTTTTTAGCAAACCCTGGCTTGGCTAATTGGTAATTAAATCTCTGGATTCTCTCCTATCATCTGTATTCGAAATTGTTTATTTTAACATGCCCAAATTCTGTAATATGGTTGGGACTGACTTTTTCCTTCTGTTCAGCTTCAGAATTGCCTGCTTTTCTTTCCCAGTTACTCTATGAGTGCCTAATTATCCAACAGCAAAAACCTGACCAACAAGGCAATGCATTAAAATCCCAACAAATCCTCTCAGTATAAGTTCATCTTTTAGTATCTTAAACCTATTTCACTGTGATACAATTTGTATCAAAACTGAGAAGAATTTGCATACATGAACTTATTTTTGAAGTAGAGACCTTCATTTCTATTATGAAAATATTCTATAATCTTCAAAAAATAATAAGTTAAACAAATTTAGTTTATTATTGTTGAGAGGGAACTGGAGCTTTCCACAAGTATGCAGACTTGTAAAGACTAGCAGGATTTAATAATACATGCTGGAAATTTTATATGATTTTGTCGTATTTCGCTTAACTTAATGCACTTTTAATACACAAAGTACTTCCGGGATAGTACTGAAAGATGACATGTATAACCCACTTAGTTTCTCATGCAATTTAATAGGTAAGTCCCCAAAGAACACTGTTTAATTTTCAAGACTTGTTTCAGAAGAAATGTTTTTATTAAATACATTGTTGGACTGTTGTCACCCACATACACTTCAGAGATGAATGAATGTATATGGAACTGAAACGTTATGCATTGTGACATTTATTTAGATTTTGAGTGATATGCACTACTCAAAAGAAGTGTATTTTGGTTTTGGTGTGAATTATCTAACAGACCTTGTGGTTGACAGCTAACAACTTGTCTTAGCTTAGTGATTACACCTTACAGATGAAGAGTTCAAATGTTGCGTAACTGGAGACAGAACGTTGCCAGACTGAAGTCACTAAGAAACGTGTCACTACACAGTCGAGGACCAGGAATGGATGCCCAATATGCACAACTTTGCCAAAGGACTGATACTTGATGCATTATGCCCTTTGGAACAGGGACAACAATGTCAAACAAGCCCCACCATACTTGAGTGAAAGGGGGAGCACCCGTGTGTTTTGTAACAGGCTTTACCAGCAGGGATTATGTGTGTGACAACTGGTAAAGGTTTCAGTCCCCCTGAAAACACCATTAGCTCCATCTGCAATGGACATGTGCTCATGTGATGTTGGGAAGACAGCAGTGGATTCTAGTTCTGTTTACTGATCGAAGGTGAAATGACAGACAGCAATGCTGATGGAGATCCTGCGGGGAACACTTTGTTGATGCCACTGCTGTGAGAACTATTTGGAAAGGGGGGCTGGCATATCTGTTCAGCGAATAGCAGACTTTGTGTGAGAGTGGCCTGTACCACTTCCAGTGTAGTCAAGAAAAATGACCTTCAGGAAGTGAAAATAGATCTTAAAGGTGACATGATCTCATTTCTTGTTAAGTCAGTATTCACTACATCATTCTGACTATAAGAGAGAAAGTTTTCATTTACAGTGTAAATCCACTGTACAAACGTTCAAAACCTCCAACATTGTGAAGTGTTTCCTTTTTATTTTACTTGTACTTTGGGACTAATTAACAATTTAGATTCTTCCAGAAGACGTTTTCCCACGTTTGTGAGTCAGTGAAGCTGTAATGAAATTTTAATATAGTCTTTCAATAATCTGTAGAGATTTTCTTTTCCCCATATTATTGTAACATATTCAGTTGGCTCTTTTTCATATCCTTAATACTATTGTGTACTGTTCTGATGAGAAGCAATTTGTTAAGATTTTATTCTGTAGTTTGTTTATACAACCGTTTGCTTAATTGTAAATTTGAAGGTATCTGAAGACACTGTTTTTCCAGATTGTGTTGGTATGGTAATTCAAAACGTTTTATTAATTGCTGTTTCTCTCCTGTTGCCCAAATCTTGAATAGTTTATCAAATTTTATGCAGAGACAATCAGAATCATAGGATATCTATCTTAAACAAGTTTGCATCATTCTCCAGATTTGTTTTTAAAACCTTGAAATGCATTGTAATTGGTGTTTCTGTACTTCAAGCAGAATCTCTTTAAATTCTCCACTAATTCCTGGTCTGTCTCTCGAGCTCAATCTTTTCAAAGTCTGTGTTTTTGAAATTCTAAACATTTGATTTGGTGATATGGAATGATACCAAAAAGATTCTCTCAACTCACTCTTATCTTGTTAGTTTGAAAATAGTAGATCAATACAGCATGCTCTTTTCTGACAAACTAAGTGCGAAAGCAGTTGTTAGTCATAGCTACTGTACCATTTCGATCTCACCTACTGTCATTCCTGAAAGTTTTTCTTAGCCTGTGTGAGGAATGTTAAAATCTTCGTGAGAAACATGAAGATCCTTCATTTTCACATACAGTACATCCCAGATTTCATTATAAAAGGCTCTTTAGAGTACTTCCCTTCCAGAATCTTCCTTGTCTATTGGAATGCTCTGTATCTACTAATGTAGTATTCGTCACCACAACTCTTTACTAGACATTTGCCTAAATTCCAATTATATAATAATAATATAGCTTTTGTTTCTTGCATTTTGTATCTAGTATTCCTAGCATTGAGATATAAAAATTGAAATCCATGGTACTTTGATGTTTTATTCTTTATACTTTATGAATTCATACATTTTATGTACTATATATATATAGGTGTTTATAATGACTGTGTTTGTCTATCATAAATAACGAACAGTTACTTTATGGTCATTATATACAGTAAACTAATAAGTTTAGCTTAATGTTATTAAGAAATTTACAAAAGATAAACCCTTTTTTAGAGATCACACAAACTGTAACAATTGCTGTTATAGTATCCAAAGGCAAATTGCAGGTGTGGTTTCAAGAGGTTACAATAGTCTGTTTTCTGCTTTATGGTGAGGTCCTGTATCATTTGTTTAGTTTTACTATTCAGTTGCTCCTTTTTACAAATGTCTTGGCCTCATTAACACACTAGAATATCTTTCTCTCATTTTTGTTATTTTATCTAAACTAGGTGTATTTACAGTACAACAGTTTTTAATCATTTCTATTTATTTTGTTTAATCTACGAGCTCAACTGTTGTCTCCTGGCAATGTGACAAAGTTACTGAAATTTATTGTATAACATATAAAAGACTTCAGGCTCTAGTGAAAAACACTGACCGTTCAATAGTTGCCGATTCTACCCTGGTCCTTTCAAGCAAAGGTGTTTTGGAGTTTCCTCATGAAGGTCTGTGTGCTGTCACTCTTAGCATGTTCACGCCTGTTTGCCTTGGTGCAAATTCCTATGATTATGGAAGTCACGGGGATTGTAAATCATCAGAACGTGTAATACAGGCACAAACAGATTCATTAGCT